GTGCCAAGACCCTTCAATAGGGAAAGCACAGTCTTTTCAACAAATGGTACTGGGAAAACTGGATATCCATATACAAAAGAATGAAGTTGGATCCCTACCTAACACCATATACAAAAGTTAACTCAGAATGAATTAAGACCTAAATGTAAGAGCTAAGACTGTAAAACTCTTAAAACATAGGGGGAAATCTTCATGACGCTCCATTTGGCAATGATTTCTTGCATATGACACCAAAGGTATTGGCAACAAAAGAAAGAAATGGAGAAGTTGGACTTCATCAAAATTAAAAACTTCATGCATCAAAGGACACTATCAGCAGAGTAAAAAGGCAACCCACAGAATGGGAGAAATATTTGCAAATCACATATATGATAAGGGATTAATATTCAGAATAGAGAAACTCAACAACAAAAAACAAACCAGTCTCAAAAATGGGCAAAGATCTTTTTTTTTTTTTTTTGTGGCTGGCCTTGGTTTCTCCAGGGATATGCAAATGGCTAATAAGCACCTGAAAAGATGTTCAACATCACTAGTCATTAGGGAAATGCAAATCAAAACCATAATGAAATACTACTTCACCAGCCAGCCCGTGGCTCACTCAGGGAGAGTGCGGTGCTGATAACACCAAGGCCACGGGTTCGGATCCTATGTAGGGATGGCCGGTTCACTCACTGGCTGAGCATGGTGCTGACAACACCAGCCAACGGTTGAGATCCCCTTACCAGTCATCTTTAAAAAAAAAAAAAAGAAAGAAAGAAATACTACTTCACACCCAGTATGATGTCTGTTATCAAAACAACAAAAAATGGGCTGACCCCGTGGCTCACTCAGGAGTGCGCTGGTAGCGCCAAGGTCGCGGGTTCGGATCCTATATGGGGATGGTTGGTGCGCTCACTGGCTGAGTGTGGTGCAGACAACACCATGCCAAGGGTTGTGATCCCCTTACCGGTCAGGAAAAAAAAAAAATAACAAGTGTTGTTGGAACCCTTGTGCACTGCTGGTGAGAATGTGAACTGGTGCAGCTTCTATGGAAAAGAGTATGGCAGGCAGTTCCTCAAAAAATTAAAATATAATTGAGCAATTTCACTTCTGGGTATATGCCCAAAAGAATTGAAAGTAGAGACAGGAACAGATATTTGTACACCCACGTTCATAGCAGCATTACTCAGAACAGTCAAAAAGTGAAGCAACACAAGTGTCCACCGACAAAATGAACAGATAAGCAAAATGTGGTATATACACTGAAAGAAAGTGAGCCGAGATGCCGGGTACTGTTCAAGCTTTATTAAAGAAAGAAATCTAGGGCGGAGCCCATGGCGCACTCGGGAGAGTTCGGCGCTGGGAGCGCAGCGGCGCTCCCGCCGCGGGTTCGGATCCTATATGGGGATGACCAGTGTGCTCACAGTGCTCACTGGCTGAGTGCGGTGCGGCCGGTCTCAAAAAAAAAAGGACAAAAAAAAAAAAAGAAAGAAATCTGACGGGCTGTGCTCAAAGTGGGGAGCAGCCTGGGGCTGCCCTGAAAATTGGGGACAGCATGAGGTGTGAGGGTGGTAGAGCTTATATTGGTATGTTGGCCCCAAGAGCTGGGTGATACCATCAAGGAGGGTCATTATGCTAATGTGGATAGGGGTGAAGAACCGCGTCCTTGCGGAAGCAAAGGGGGTTTCTGTTTAAGTCAGGAGGCTTCTCCTAAAGGGAAGGGGGGAGGGGAGGAGGTGGGCAGCGCCATTTTGTACTTGGGCTTGTCTACAGTGGTGCTGGTTATGTTGCAGACCTATTATACATACAATAGAGTATTATTCAGCCTTAAAATGTGAGAAAATTTTAACACGAGTGAACCTTGACGAGTAAACATTAATGGTAAATGAAATAAGCCTGTCACGAAAGGACAAATGTGTACTCATATGGAGTACTTAGAGCAGTCTCATTCAAAGAGAGAAGTAGTAGGGCCGGCCCTGTGGTGCACACTCGGGAGAGTGCGGCGCTGGGAGCGCAGCGACGCTCCTGCCGCGGGTTCAGATCCTATATAGGAACGGCTGGTGCTCGCTCACTGGCTGAGCGCAGTGTGGGCGACACCACACCAAGGGTTGCGATCCCCTTACCGATCACAAAAAAAACAAAAAAAACAAAAAAGAGAGAAGTAGTAGAATGGTAGTTGCCAGGGAGGCGAATGGGGAGTAATTCTTTTTTTTAAATTTTTATTATTTATTATTAGAATATTCATTCTTACAAATTGTAATTTTTCTTTATGCCCTTTACCCGACCTGTCACTCCCCAAACCCTTCCTTCCCTCCCGCCAGGAGTTTTTTTTTTTCCTTTTTGTCTTTTTTCGTGACCGGTAACGGGATCGCAACCCTCGGTG